GACCTGGACCGGACCTGTTAGGACCGGGACCTGAATCAGCCAATTCTGAGGACCGGGGACCGGACCTGATTCAGCAGGTCCGGGTCAGGTCCAGACCTGAGCAATCAGGTCCGGGTCAGGTCCAGACCTGAACAGACCTGTTTTGTGTGTTTTTTTTTTTTGTTTTTTTTTAAAGAAAATAAATAACCTGTTGGACCTAATTATAGACCTGTTTACATAAAATCTTAAAATATCAATGACAAAAACTACATAAAATCTATAAGTCTCAAATATAACAAATAATTCATTAAATTACATAAAGTCTCTAAGTCTCAAATACTAGAAATACATAAATTATCCAAAGACAACTTGAATTTTGGCGAGTTGCTTTCCCTTTGATTGCGTGATTCACACTAATGAGTCAACGAAAACAACTTCATCGTCTCCATCGTTAGATACATTATGTTGCACCTCTAAATAAAAAAACATTATAGAATATATTAATGAATGATAACAATGAAATAATAAATTTGGTTAACAAAATTACAAGTACATAAAATTAATACTACCTTTCTCCATTTCTTGTAACTCTTTCAAATTTTCTTCCATATCCTCTTACTTTTTCTGTTCCATATGTATTCCCGCCCCGCTTTTAACTTCTTATCTGGAGGCAAAGTAGATTGCAATTCTTCCATATCCTTTTCAAAAAGTGGCTGTGACATTTCTTAAGAAAAAGCAGCAGATCTTTTGGATTGAGAGCTCTCCATCTTCAATATAATTATACACAATCTTCAATATAATTATACACAATATAAGTAATTTTTAAGTAACAATTATAAACACATAACATTTTATAAAAAAATGTGAGAACAACTTACATTGCAAGAGTAAGAATCCGTGGTTCTTGTTGATCCTAAACATATAAAACGATAGAATTCAATTACAATTCAAATTGAATTCACAAAATAAACAGAATACATACAAATATACAATACACCAACAAGGCAGCAAATTCTACAATATGAATTTTACTGTGTGTTCATGAAGGAATGACAAATGCATAACAGTAAAATCGGGGGCACTTTGTTCACTAAAGGGGGGACTTTCAAGACCAATAGGGGAATCTAAGACATGATGATTAAATCAATGAAATGACCAGATAGATGAGTAGGATGAACCTTGTTAATATCAGCTAAACCTCCTTCTGCATATCCATATAATAAGTACTCTGTTGCTACACCAGCCAATGCTATACATGAGAATCTGTTCAGCATCTAATCAAAGACATAATACTGTCATAATCATAAGTAGTTTCCTGTTAATTAACATGAGGTTTCTCCAGAGAAAATTAAGTACAAGGGAGCCTCATAAAAGCTTGCACCAAGAAGAGACCATACCGTAGATGACATTTTCCCTGCGTTGGTCTGCAAATTACAGTCACAAATTGATTCAGAATTTCAAATTCAAGCAAACAAAGCTCATAAAAAATAAGCACGGAAAAGACGTTCAAACGTACCAAAGCATAAGCTAGTTGGACAAGCTAAGACAGTAAGACATGATAGTTCAGAGAGAGTGTTAAAGGGAAGAGAACTCAACAGGTCATAGAGAGAATAACTTACTTCCTCGACAAACTCAAAGTCAACAAAATTTGTTCCTGCTTGAACATTGAGAGACCCTTCTTTGCTCAAAGCTTCTAAACTCGAAAGTGTATAACTTTTTGGAAGGATGCCAAGCAAGTAGGCAATCAAAAAGTGTCCAGCTTCATGCTGCAGTTGAAAATTGATCTTGTGGTCAACTCAGGGATAGCAAAAACTTTAAGTGTGACGAAAACTAGAAAAGGCCACCCTATAAGGAAACATCTACCATATTTATACATTTAAAGATAACAAATCCAATAAGACAACACGTATTAGCTCCAGGAAACGAGAAAATGAACCATGTGCTTACTTGAATAACCCGGTTGTGGTACTTTTGACTGATGGCATGGCCAATCGTATCAAGAGCCAAGCCGGAAATTCCTCCACCAAAAGAAATCTGTTAGAAGCCACAGATTAACACATTGTTTAAATGATTCAAAGCATTTCTCTAAGCACAAAAACTTAATACAGTGACTCAGTCCATGAACAATATTTTCATGAGCCTCAACCATTAATGTAGGAAAAAATTTCTCAAGTTTGACAAAGGAAAGAAAAAAAAAAGTTACCAGATCCAATGTCCACAAGAACAACAATCCCAAAGAGATATAAAAGAGTTGCTAGGGGCTAAGTTCAAAGGCGTTCCAAGCAGCAACACCACCTAAAACCGCAGCAATCTGCAGGTTCCTTTCAATTGAACCAAGAGTCGTGTCCACAGGCGACAAGAGAGAAGCAGCTTCAATTCCATTCAGCTTTAATTCATCCAAAGTATACAGTCTCTGAGGCACCTGCACTGCACATCACACTTCCACTTAATAACACAATACTAAAGTCCAAATCCATAACATCTCAACTTCGAGACAATAATCATGTCTGTGTAGGGATCCAAACATGTCTGTCCAGAAAGCACTTCATAACATTGTTCAAATTCAAATTGTTCTAGGCTTCAAACACTCACACCCTTATCCAATGTATCATGTCAAGAGTCGGACAAAGGCCATACGGGTTAGATTTAATTTAAAAAAAAAAAAGAACTTACAGGATACCAAAATTCAACATGCATTCGAAACAAATGAACTAAAATAATTCAAAAACAGTTACTTAAAATAAATAAAAAAAAACCTCAAAAAAAAATCATGAATTCGAAAAAAATGAACTAAAAAACAGAACTTGCAAACATCAAACAATCATAATAAGCAATTGAAATACAAAATACCCAATTCAAATATAATTAGATTTAATTTAAAAAAAAAAAAGAACTTACGGGATACCAAAATTCAACATGCATTCGAAACAAATGAACTAAAATAATTCAAAAACAGTTACTTAAAATAAATAAAAAAAAACCTCAAAAAAAATCATGAATTCGAAAAAAAATTAACTAAAAAACAGAACTTACAAACATGCAAACATCAAACAATCATTATAAGCAATTGAAATACAAAATACCCAATTCAAATATAATTAGATTTAATTAAAAAAAAAAAAAGAACTTACAGTGAGATGCAGATGCAGGGTGTAGTCGTCGACTCGTCGTTGCAGGATGTACAGCGTGTAGTCACTGCTGGTCTGGACGTCTGGTGGGCGGTGGTCTGGAGGGAGTGGGTGTTGCCGTGTTTGCTTGTCGGCTGAGAGAGAGAGAGAGAGAGAGAGAGAGAGAGAGAGAGAGAGAAGTGAGTTAGGGTTAGAGTGTGTTAACAAAAATGAAACGGATTCTTTTGAAATTTGGGATTTTTTTTTTTTTTTTTTTTTTTTTTTTTTTTTTTTATAAAAAACGCATTTTTAACGGGTTTCAGGTCCAGACCTGAAAACCCCGGGTTTGGACCTGATCCGGACCGGGACCGGAAACCTTGATTTTCAAGGACCGGGACCGGACCTGAATCTACAGGTCCGGGTCAGGTCCGGTCCCAACAGGTCCGGGTCAGGTCGGTTTTCAGGTCCGGTCCTGTTCATGTACACCCCTACTCTCAAGCGATGACCTGCAGAGCTAGGCTGGCTAAAACCTGTGAGAGGTTCATCTTACCTTTTTATTAGTTTATTTCTTATCATCAATCTTGTTGACTAATCAATTCTTGAATATTATCAAATTAAAAAATTACATCAATTGTTATGACATCAACATTTTAACAAGAGCTTTTTCGAAAAAAACAAAAAAAAAAAAAAAAAAAAAAAACCATTTTAACAAGAGACATATGCTTGTGCAATAGATCATTTCACAAATAGGAATGACTACTTGATACAATATACATGATTACAAAATTAAATCATCACCAAATTTAGTTGATTGTTTTATACTAACTTAGCCTAATTGTTTCATCATCAACCAGTAGCAAAATACATACCCTAACAAACTGGACACAACTTTACATACACTACCCTATAGGATTTAACACTAGAATCAAAACTCATTACATCAACTAACAAATGTGAAGATAGAAATGCTTGAGATGCCTCAACAATTGAACTTCAGCAACATTGCTTTCCCCCTCTTGGGAATCTTACTTCTTGGTTATGGATGTGAGCTTATTAGAAAGCCTCACTTTGGAGGATAATTTTGTTAGTGAATATGTGAATTTCTTTATATACAATGGTACGGTGTGTGATTTTACACGCGCATATATAGAGCATATAATGGTGGGAAATCACGTGTCAACTCTCAAAATCTTGACAATGTGGCCGGAAAGTTGGTTTAAAGTATTGTTTTAATAGTCTAATAGATATTTAAATTTATTTGGTGTTTAGAGAGCCTCAAGGACAAGATGAGAATTGATCCCAAGATTATCATCACTTGAAATCGAAAGAAAGCTTTAATTACACTTGAGCTATCCCTCATTTTCATACTTATATTTACTAGCTTACACACTCGTGCAAAAAGAATGAACTTAATGACAATTTAGCCACTTTTTTATAGATATATATTGAGATTATCTAATTAACTAGATCTAATACGACTACATTTTTTTTATCAAGTATAAATCTCCAACGATATTTGAAAAGGATTTGAATAGCGGAACAGTAGAACCATTGCCACTAAAAATAAATGAAAGAAGTTAATTAAGTACATTCTAAGTTTGATTCTCTTTAGATGAAGACCAATTGGCCCGGTTTTAATTTATCTATTAAACATTTCTCCTAAACTAAGCTAATAGAAGAATTTTCCATCCGTTTTACCAGCAATTTGAAGGCGTAATCAGAAATTTCACTAGAATTTGAGCTAAGATATATAACGACTTTTAACGATTTAGTTAGATAACATGAATTGGTGTAATTTTACAAAATAATTGATACGAGTAAAATAATCATTAGTCTAGTAGTAAAGAAAATTTACACCCACATGTTTTTCTCTGCCAAACATCTTCTCTTAAGTATGGTCTTTAAAAATATAATAATGAAAGTAATTAAAAAAAAAAGAGTAATAATAATTAAATAAAACATTTGAATCAACCTTATGACAAAAACTTGTTCTTCATTAAGTAATTGAATTTTGACATACTCAAACACTCAAAATTTATTTTACTTAAAATTATTCATATTGGAAATTTAATCATTTGAACATCAATCTACAAGTTCAAATTCAAAAAATTAGTGAAGCCAATTTCTCTGGTCCTAGACATGATAAAGTAAGAGAATAAAAATAAAAAAATAAAACTTAATGTGACGAATTATAATGAAATAGCCTTAACAAATTGGTCGAATTTGTCAACCTATTGATTAACCGCACCACAAGTCTTCCTAATTTCACCTTGGCTTCCAGTAAGCACACCAATATTGATCATTTTGGTCATAGACACCGCGAAATCATCAGCAAAAGTTGATCCCTTGGTCTTAACTTGGGTCTCAATGTAACTTTTGGTTTCTTGATCGGTCATAAGAGTGGCATCCGACACAAAGAGTCCCCTATGTTGGGTTACCATGGTGTAGTAGTTTTGGTCGAAGGCCTTAGGGGTAATTCGATCCATAAACACAAAAGATTTTGAGTCACTTGCAATAGGAGGACACCTAGTTTTCAACCACTCGACGTAATGTGGGGATAGTGTAGGATCGCTGTCACCATTTCCAGTGAAATTGTACAAACGACTACGGATGATGAAGCAGTGACCAACTCCAATGGTGTGAGCACCTATCAAAATGGAAAGGATAATTTTTAATACGGTTTATAGAATTGTGTTTAAAAACCTAAATGATCAAAGTATGGTGTGTGTGTGCGCGTCAGTGCGTATGCGTGCCAGCATGTCTATACAGAGCTACAAAATGCATTGACTTTCTAGAAGACATTAATTTCATTGACATATAAATAATGATCACATAGCATTGAATTATTATTTTTTTACTACAATGTGTGTCAATGTTACCTGATAAAACCACCAAATCTTTAGCAGAAAGACCTAAAGCTGCAAAGTTTTGTTTAAGGGTAGTAACGTCAGAAAATGGTGATGGAATAAGTGCATTGGCTTCTGATTCCAATGATACTTTACCATCCCTTCTACCTGTTGGAACCTCCCACCATGGTCCGTTAATCTGTACGAAAATAAATAATAATGTTTTAGATCAAAGTAATAGAACAAAGTACATTGCATATATAGCCTTGACTCACATATGAAATTTACCTTACATTATATAGATAAGAATATAAATAAAATAAATACTGGGAGGTTAATGTTAAAATATGGACCATTACCGTGGTAATAGCATCTCGGGATGCCAAAGCTAAAATATCAGCACAAGAAACAACACCAGGACACTCCTTTTCTAGAGTGGACTTGATTGCATCAATGATCTCAAAACCTCGGAGTGTTGTGTTTGGAATGGCTGTCTTCTCTGTTTGGTTGTTGGAAGGCGTTGGATTGATTAGTACAGAACCATCACAACCCTACAAAGAAAGGATCAATACCATCAAATCATCAATAATTATTATTATGCACGTTCATTTGACTAATTATGTACTTGGCAGTATGATCATCTAAAAGTCAACGCAAACATGATAAGCTAATTATTGGTGGTAAAAAGAAAAAAAAAATTTCAATCAAGTACTATATATGATCATTTCACTAGATTGAAAGAACTAATATTAGACCGCCTAATAAACACCCTAATTTGTAAATTTATTTATATATATAATCCCAATTCGATCAAATGAATACATGTAGAAAAATGCTCCGTAACAAACATTTACATTTTAAGACGAATTAAGGTATAGAAAGAAACATACCCTAACGGCGCAGTCGTGAAAGTTCATTCTAATCAAACCAGCAGCAAAGTTAGGAACATGACCAACGTATTGCTTAGTGATTCTTTGAACAATTGCCTCGGCTTTGGGGCACGAAGTTTTGTAATAATCAAGCATCAAGCCTTGAGCATTTGCTATGGCAAATATCGTGGCGAAAACAAGAAAGATTGAGGACAACTTGTGGTCTGCCATGTTGTATAATCTAAGTTACTTCTCTAGGATAAAATTTAGAAGATGTACTTCTAGGAATGTTGTTTTGGATGTTGCAGGAAGAATGTTCGCATTTTATACTTCAATTTATGGCATCTTCTCACATGAAAACGACTTTGATGTATTTAAAAATATAATTCAATATATTATTGCAAACATGCATTTACATGCAATTATCAAATACAAAAAATTGCACGTTATCTCATATGGGTTGATCAAAGATGATATAATGACAACGAATAATGACTACTCTTTGATTAATCATGGTTCAACTTACATACAACACTAATTCTTTTCCTTTTTTTTTCTTTTTTTTTTTTTTTGTTTTTTGTGTAAAATGGAGAAAATCCGATTACAATTATGAAGCTTAAGCTTTACTCTGTTAACCGCCCTTACACAAGAAGATAACCCATATCGGAGGTTCAGGTTGGGAAACAAATTTCATGGCTTAGCATATTAATTAATGACAAGAGTTGAATAAATACAATAATATATTTGATAGATATTATGTATATATAAAGTCAGACAAAATTGATAAAAACTTTTAAGAATTATTGTTTTAATTTTATTATAAGTTATTATAGTATTATTGTAAGAGTTTTCCATTATTAATTATAAAAGGTTAGATTAGTCTTGTCTCCATGGTTGAGTGCGAACAATTAGGCCAAATAATTGAAGGCATCAAAGCAGCAGGCGGCTTGTAACTATAATATAATTGAGCCTCGATCGGCAATTACCTTAGACCACAAGTTAATTTTTACAAATAATTAATTTACATAAAATCTCCTACCATGATTTCAATTTATAATTAGGAAAAATGTATGCCTTTATTTTCTTTTGTTTGTCCTATTTGAAATCTTGACATATTTTAATTTTTCAATGCAAATAAATGGAATTTAGTATTTTAACGATTTTTCTGTATTTCTAAATAAACATAGTCACCTAAATTCATCTTGATTTTTAGTTTCTGAATATGTAATTTTTATTTGTTTAATACTTAACTTGTTACATTTCAATTATATTAGGGGTCGTTTGGTTTGCACGGGGTAATCAGAATGGACATGAACAAAGGGAAAGAAAGAGAATGGAATGGAAAACCTTTCCAAGTAGTATGTTGTTTGTTTTTATAAAAAAAATAAAAGGAATGGAACCAGTCCACCACCACACAACCACACAAACAACTCATTCCTTCAAATTTCCAGCCATCACCCAGCCAGCCCACCACCCATCTACCACCTTGTCACATTCCCCGCCCCTAGTCCCACCTCCCCCACCCATCGCCGCCGTTCCTCGCCGCCCAAAAACCCCACCCTCCCCCCAAAACCTTCCCCTACCCTCGAAAAACCCTAGAAATCCCTCCTCCTCCCTGTAAAAACCGCCGTCTAGGGTTTCGAGGGTGGCCGACGGTTTTTACAGGGAGGAGGAGGGATTTCTAGGGTTTTTGAGGGTAGGGGAAGGTTTTCGGGGGAGGGGAAGGGTTTTTGGGCAGCGAAGAAGGGCGACGAGAGGAAGGTGAGGTGCGGCGAGGGTAGCTCAGTGGTGGCTGGGCAGTGGGATGGTCGGGTGGTGGCTGGAAAGTTAAAGGAACGAGTTATTTGTGCGGTAGGGGAAGGTTTTTAGGGGAGGGGAGGCTTATCGGTGGGCGGCGATGGTCGGGGAAGGGGTGGCGATGGCAGTGGAGGTGCAACTGGGTGGCAGTTGGGTGGTGGCCGGGGGTAAGGTAAAAGGGTGGTGGCTAGTGTGTATGTGTGTGGTGGTGGTGGAGGGATGGCTAAGGAAAGGGAATGGAAAAGTCTAGAGGGGGTGGGGAATGAATGTAGAGCAAATTAGGGTGAACTCAAAAACAAAAAAGGGTAAAGGGAATGATAAATAGCGACAAACAAATAGCAACAAAAGGAATGGGGTCTATTCATTCCCTTTCCCTTTGATTATTAACCCCAACCAAACGGCCCCTTATTGTATTGAAATTTGCGCAAAAGGCAAGTGGGAACAAACAAAAAAAACAAAGCGAGAGTAGTTATTTTGTACAAGTAGATTTTGTTTTGGTGAAAATGTTAACAATAAAAGAGAGAACTTAATTGCGTTATACAAGTATTATTTGACCTTGGTGTAAATCTAAAATGTAGGTTGTTAAAATATTCTCTCAATAATAATTCTCTGTATTTCTCATTAATCACAATATCAGCCACATTACATATATATAGGGATATAGGAATATAAAACCTAATATTCCTAAATACCCTAACTTCCTAAAATATCACGATATACAATATTTATCATATCACAAAATATATCCCAATACCCCCCCTCAAGTTGGAGCATACAGATCTCGGATGCCCAACTTGCAAAGAAGATACTCAAACTTAGCTTTCCCCAAAACTTTGGTGAAAATATCTGCCAACTGCACTGTCGTAGACACATATGAAGGTGAAATAGTCCCATCAACAATCGCATCTCGCACAAAAATGACAGTCTGCTTCAATATGCTTCGTCCGTTCATGAAAAACTGGATTATGAGCAATGTATAGTGCCGATTGACTATCACAATATAGGTGCATGCCACTCTCATGTTGCACACCTAAGTCTCCCAAAAGTTGCTTTAGCCACTTCAACTCACAAGTCACTGCTGCCATCGAACGATATTCTGCTTCTGCCGAGCTTTTAGACATCTTGTGTTGCTTTTTGGTCTTCCATGACACAGGAGATAGACGAAGTAACACAAACCGACTAGTCAAGGATCGTCGAGTTAATGGACAACTCGCTCAATCTGAATCACACCAAACTTCCAACTGTAAAGCACTGTCAGACCTCAACAGAATACCCTGACGTGGATTTTTCTTCAAATATCTCACAACCCGTAGAGCTGCATTCCAATGTTCCACTCTAGGATTAGGCATAAACTGCAATAAAATGTGTATAGAATATGCTAAATCTGGTCTAGTCACAGATAAATAGATCAAACGACCTACAAGTCTGCGATACTTCTCCACATCAAGCAACAATTCACCTTCGCTAGAGCTAATCTGTGATTTTGCTCCATGGGAAAGTCTGCAGGCTTAGCATCTAGTAAACCTGTCTCAGTAATTATATCCAAAGCATACTTCCTCTGACAAACAAAAAATCTCTGTTTATTTTGAGCCACCTCTAGCCCCAAAAAAATATTTCAAAACTCCCAAGTCTTTCATTTTGAAACATTGCCTCCAAGTATGATTTAAAAGCAACCATAGCAGACTTATCGTTGCCTGCAACAATCAAATCATCAACATATACTAACACATTCAGCTGCAATTTCCCTTTCGTTAGTGTAAATAACGAATAATCAGAATATAACTGTTTAAAGCCATAATTTTTCAAAGCTGCTGCTAATTTCGCAAATTAACAACGAGGAGCCTGTTTCAGACCATACAACGATTTCTTCATCCTGCAAACCATGTCAGAGTTACTTTTATCAAAACCTGGAGGTATTTTCATGTACACCTCTTCTTCTAAATCACCATGAAGCTAAGGAAGGCATTATGAACATCCATTTGATGGACATCTCAATGCAATTTTTCAATGCTGCAACTGCTAGAAAACCTAATATTCCTAAATACCGTAACTTCCTAAAATATCACAATATACAATATTTATCATATTCACAAAATATATCCCAATATAGATCAATACATAAATTGTACTAGTATAAGGAACATTTTTATTTTTTCTTATTACTATTGGAAATTTTTTTTATAGGGTTTTTTCTAAGCTATGCCCTTGTGATTATTGAGTTTCTAAAGTGTGCCCATACTTTTTCAAAATCATAAGTTGTGCCCTCCAAGTTAAGTTGTTTAATCAACCGTACCCTCTGACGTTAGTAATTGTAAGAAAATTAGAAAGTAATAAAATAAGAAAAGAAGTACACCGAGAGCTTGACATATCAATGGTTTCTTTTTGAAGAATGAAGAGAAAGTAGATGAGAAAATGTGAAAAAAATACTTAATGTTAATTCCTTTATATAAATCTAACCCGATTTGGGCATGAAATTTCTCTCCAAAGTAGGGGTAATTAATAGTTAACACAATTATTAACGTAGCGTTAACATCAGAGGATACGGTTGAATAAACACTTTAAGTTGGAGGGCACATCTTGTAATTTTGAAAAAACATGGGTACACTTTAGAAACTCAACAATCATGGGGGCATAGCTTAAAAAAACCCTTATTTTTATTACTAAGTTTTCAAAATACTTGTGTATTTGCCACGATGGGTTTGTAAGATTGTGGTAAAAATTCAAAAATTGGGAAAATAACTCATTGTTGTATTTCTTGTAAGATAAGATTTATAACTGACATTAGTGCCAGAATAGACGACCCATTAATGATAGGTCTAAGTATTAAATTAATGACTTGATCCAAACATTATCCTAAACAGTGAACCTAGAGCTTTAAACGGCTTCAATTATTCAATTAATCTCTTGTAAAAAAAAAATATTTAATTAATCACTGTATTATGAGTTTTCTGTTATTTAACAATCAGTCATCAATAATAATATAATACTAAAATAGATACCGGAAATGATACATGTCACTTCTTGGTGTCGTTTTTCCCTCCAAAAACCATTTTCTAAAAATAAATATATTCTAACTTTATTTTTTTTTTATATCTTTTCAATTGATAACTTATTTAAGATAATAAAATTATATACTATTTAATTTATATATTATAATAACAATTAAAGATTCTTATTACCATATTAATATTATTTGCTTAAAATGATTTTTTTCTGATATATTACTATCAAATGGATTTAATCTATTGTAGGAAATAAAAAAAAAATATTTACCTATATTGCATCAAATTGATTTTCAGGGGGTTTTCTGTGTAGCTGGTCACATCGTGTGGCCTGCTGACACACTCCAAACACTGACCGGGTAACCCTTATCCGAATTATCCTTGACTGACCGAATAACCCCTAACTAACCGAGTAACCCCTGACCAAGTAACCCCGGCCACACGGTGTGACTATCCACATATGAAACTTTGTGATTGACTTTAACATAGAAATCTATAACTATAACGATAT